AGTTAAATCTAACCAGAGGGCCTGGCACGCCTTGTGGTCCTGGAGGTCCTCTGATCCCTTGTAGTCCTCTTGGGCCCTAATGTAAAAAAGCCATTAGAAAAAAGTTAGTTCAACAGTGATATAGCCATTCAATGAAGATCAGATTGCCGCCACAGCCAGAATCCAAGTGCCTGTTTTGCAAGCCTTAATGCACAGGTGAAACTTCTGGCTGTTTGGTTGTAAGGATTTGCCTGTGTGAAGCAGCTGAGATGGTCACTCCCTGAGGGCCACATTCAGAGAGCAACTGTGGTGTCCAAGATACCAAAGGAGCGATAAGCAACCCAATATCAACTAGGCACACTTTCTTCAGATGTCTATATCTTAAACTTAAGAGAATCTTTAGAGCATCTTAAAACTGGAAGTTACTGTAAGCAGTCTACCACAATAACTCTATTCAAAATTACACTACCAAGCAAATTTTTAAAACACAAAGCTTTCCTCATCGGTTTTGTTAATCAGTATATATTTTTCATCATTTTAATGCAACCTGGAAATCCAGTACATTCAAAAATGCAATTGATTTTATATGCTTATTGCTAGCAATTTCTAATTAATTCATTTTGAAGATATCTGCTTGATAATATCCTGTAAGCTAGAGATGTGTTGGTTAAATTACTTATTTCTGCTATTCCCTTTCCTCTTCTTATTTCACTAGAAGATGCACCCACATAAACCGAAAGAGAAATTTAATTCCTCGGGGTTACAGAGATTTGCCACAGAAGAATCTTACTCATAATATTCATTAGTTGGAGTAAACAAAGCATTCCAAAAAGAAAAACAAAAGATCAAGACTGGTAACTCATCTTCTCCACAGCTCACATAAAAATAACGCAGAAGTTCTTTCAGTTACCTGTGGACCTGGAAGACCTGAGTCTCCTGGGTAACCTGCCTCCCCCAGATCTCCTTGCTCACCCTGCCAGAACCAAACCAAACAAACCAACAATCAGAGCAAATAAATTAATAACTGTCATATGTACATCAACAAATAATATCTGCACAGAGTATCAGCTGAGAGAATGTTTTCCAACAATTCCAAATAGCTTTCAAGCAGCTTCAAATTCTTGTTGAAGAAAACTCAATGAAGAAGCAAGAGAGTTGAGTACCTCTTTTTGATGTTTAGGGTGCATGACAAATATAAGAGCTGCAGTGCAAGAGCTCAGTTCTATCTGCTTTGCATTTTACTAAGCACATTTTACACCACAGTCTCAGCAATACTCCTGCATTACCCTTGTCCTTATCCACTGCACAGACCATGAGAAATCATAAAACCAGGGCCACAACTGCAGATCCCCTTCACCCTTATCCACAGAGAACTACTCTGAGGGGGAACCACGACTTCATAATTCATCCTAGAATTAGATGTCTTTCTGCTCCCCATCTTTCACTCTGGTTACTCAGTGAGGCAAGTAAAATCTTCCTCAGTCATGGAAAAAAAAACCAAAACGAACTTTTCCAGCTCCCATCTACATAAAGTTGCCATCTAAGGATGAGTCAGTTTAGATGACATCCGTAAGAACTACTTGCTGTCTGCTGGACTGAGTAAAATGGTGATAATCAGCACCAAGACATTGGTGTCTTGCTGATCTCCTTTCACTGGAGAAATTACAAACATATGTCTGAAGATTCTCGGGAAACAGATGGTTCTGGAAATAACTGCCTGAGGAAACCTGCATTCAAAAGGCTGTATTCCCGTTCTGCACAGTATGAATGAAACATAGCCAAAAAAAAACCCCAAAAAAAACATCAAGCAAGCTTATTTGTAGCCAGAGTAACAATACTGTAACACAGAACATCAGTTAGTAGACTAATGCCAGGCTCATACCAGCTGTAAAAGAATGAAATAGAAATAGATTTCCACAAAAATCTCTTTGACTGAAATGAAAATGGACAAATTTCTTAGGCACACTGTACTAGAACCCAAAACTGTATGAAAGTTTTCAGCTACTTTGAATCAAACCTAGAAGAGCTGTTCTTTTTCTTTTTTTTTCTTTTGTTTTCCCTTTTACTTTTCCTTTCTCTCATGCCTTCCTTCGGTTTATTCTCCCTTCTGTCTTCATTGTTTTGCTTTGCTTTTGAAACACACACTGCCTTGTTGTTCTTGTCTGTGACAAACACCTCTCTGAGGCTACACCACACCTGCCCCTTCCTCCTGCTGACTACTTCTGACTGTTAAGAATGACTAGCTGTGCTTCTTTATTTTTTTAAACTATTTCAAAAAGTTAGCTAAATAGATAATTTGAGCTAGAAGTCCTGGGAAACTGTCCTTTACAGGATATGGTGAAAAGCGCTGCGTTCATGGTGACTGCAAGGGAAGTTAACAACTTTGTTGGCAAGGGTGTTAGTTCAGTGTCTGTTATTAACAAGTAAACCCGGTACAAGTCCTTAGGCATTAGCTGGGGGAATTCTGGCTCACTGCCTGTAATCTGATTATTTGTCCCTGAGTACATTGCCACCAATATCTGTCTTCATCTGAAAGAGGGATTCATTTCCATTCCATTCCATTCCATTCCAGCACAAAAACTTCCTCTTCCAGAAGAACTGGCCATACCGTATTTCCTTATAGAGCCAGAACCTGTAGTCCACAGAAGGGCCCTTGAAGATCCTTCAAACATTAGGACTACACAGTTCGGCTTCCCACCCAGGGACATCAGGAAGCCTGCACAGCGAAGTTCTCATACCTTGTGCTGACAAATCTATACCCTGTGGCAGCTTTGCAACACCCTACCATGCAAGAGATCTAGGTGGGAGGACACAACACCCAAAATCTCACTCAAAGATGGATGCCAGCGTCATATTTCAGGGTTTACTGTTCCATCTAGTTCCTCTAGGAGATGCGGAAGACAGCAGAGGGCAATTCTCTTTGCCATTTGCTTTTTACACCTCTTCAATGAACAGGTGATTTATATAAGCTGTGATCTGAACATAGACTGGGACATAGTTTTTAATCCCTTCTTGACCTATGCAAATGTTTTTGTTACACTTTTAGAAGTCAAAGCTGGTCGCCAAATACTCAAATGAAAACAGTTTGGAAGTTCTGTTTCTGTGAGGTTCAGTCATCTCTTATTCCCTACCATATTACAAAAGGGTGGCCTCATTGCTGGGGGAGGGGGCCCCCATGGAGATGAAGAGGGTTGTCTCAAAAGGTTCAATTAATTCTGTACTCTGTGATTTTACTAAACAAGTTGAACATTTTTATTTTCTAACCACACTACAGTTCTTGTGCTTGTTAGTACAACAAAAATAAGGCACAAATCCATTTCCAGAGACTTCAGTTTTTGTCCTGTCACCCTCATAGCTCACTTGGATTATTTCTGGTACCTGATAGAAAAATGCAAACAAAGATTTTCAGAGTTCAGCAGCAATCAAATAGGGGGGGGGAAGAAAGCAAGCACAAAGTTACATAATTACTTAAGAAATGGATTTCTGAGCTATTAAGCAAGAATTGGAATAATTAAGAGGCAGGCTTAATGAATATTGCTCAATATTTTAATCTAAAATGTCTGCATAAACCCTGTAAAGAATTTCTGAGATAGAAATAGGAAACAGTAACTATAAAATGCTTATATTCTTTTAAGTTAACGCTGATCCTTGTGAGTAGCCAAATCGCGGTGCTTTCCTCCTACAGGCAGATAGTATCAAAATCTTCCAGAGTCTATTCCCATCCACTATCCCAGGCAGTGAAAGTTCTGGATTCTCAAAGTGAAATCTAAATTGGGATTTTCAGAAACCAGGTGGGGCAGAGGTCATCTTTATTGACAGTCTCTCCTCTATTTACATTCCCACATTCACCTTAAAAATAAAAGTAACTGTCCTTTTATTGCAATGAAAGCTCCTTTCCAATTCTAAATCCCTCAAGTCAGGAGGGCCTCTGGTACATCCACTTGAGATCCAAAGGCTGCCTTGGCTTGAAATAGACTTTTGATTGTTAAACACTTCCATCTTAGATCACACTGAGATTTCTCCCTTAAGAGAAGTAAACACTGAGGCTGAACATATAGCTGCATACACATAGCTGGTAGCAGCAGCAGCAGCCGCTCACCTTTATACCTGGAGGGCCTCTTCGACCTGCTGCACCCTGGGAAGGAGTGGCATGAGAGGTTATATCCAGAACACCAAGCAATATGTGAAACAACAGCTTATAATAAAATATATTATACGTACAATCCAATCAAATACAGCTTATAGAAAGCTGAGATTATTTCCAAAGAAAGGTTTAAGGTAAAAATGAGAAACGAGTGGATTTGGGACAGAAATTCTTACCTAAGTAAGCCTCATTAAAAAAAAAAAGAAAAAAGGTTTTAGACCCTTAAGGAGTGCAGAGGAAAGGCATCTCAACAAAATTCTGGAAAACATCTTCCCAGTCAGCTGCCCCTTGGCTAAAATAAAGACAAGAAGAGCCCTCTTCTTTCCCTCTGAGCCAAAAGGTCTGCACTGCTTCCCGCTTCACACTGCTCAGCAGCATTAGCGAATGTTACTGTTAAACCTCACATCACCAGAGGCCTTTAGGATGTTTCTGCAGCCTGAACAAGTGATCATCATTCCAGACTTTAGCATTAGGCATCTTTCTGACAGACGAGAAGAGGTGCCCTCATGAGTTCCAATCTCCAGTGGATTAAAAAGAACAGCTCAGCTGCCAGTGAGTTTATATATAAGCTTGAACAGGCATATGTAACTTGCAGTCACAGGGAGGAGGAAAGGATAGATTTATCTGTGGTGAAATTACAAAGCAATTAAGGCTCACAGAAAAGGTTGCATTGAGTTTAAGGCTTGTGACTTGAATTAATCAGACTTGAAGTTAATGGGACAGCAAATTCTTGATTTTTTTTTTTTTTTTAAACACATTGCAATACACATAAGCTACTAAATTTGAAGCCAAATATGTTTCACTATGAATATTTTAGAAGATTTTTTTCCCCTCTCATTGCAGGAGTTTTAACTGTGGGATAAGAGGAAGAAAAGAAAAATTAGTTTTCTCGATGGGAACTACATGGTATTTTGTATCAGTTACTTCCACCCTGTATCGATTACTATTCTTACATCAGGGCCAGCATCACCCTGCTCTCCTTGGAGTCCATGTGGTCCTGGGTCTCCCTGCAAAACAAAGTAATGAACAAGCTCTTTAAATACTCTTTCTTGTACTTACACATTCTTCTTTATACATTTCTTTGTTTCTTCTCCTAATTTCATTGCAATCAGTTGTATCATGCTAAATGCTGATTTTTGTTTTCTGCAAATCATTTACAATCAAAAATTATAAACCAGACAGATCACGCTTGCTTTGGATTTCCAATCCAGCAATTACTAACAGTTGATATTGATTAAAGCCTGTGTTAAATCATTTTTGTTGACTTCAACCTTACAGTTGGACTTCTTAAGATGAGAAAGTCTGATGAGGTTTGTTTCCAAAAAGTCATCAAAACACAATTATTCTCCAAAGAGTGACCCTCACAGTTTTTCTGCTGCTTTCAGCACACCCTACAAAGATATATATGGACACGCAGGTGTCTGAACATGTGCACACAACTTGTTCAAATAGAATCAAACTTCCAAAATAATGGATTTTTCTCATGTGTTGCTAGTTCTCACCCTCTTAAGCTTTCATCCACCATCACTTATATACTACTGTCCAACTACTTATCATCTTTACTTATTCTTTCTAAAGTGCAACAGTGAAATGGGCTGTGCTTTTCTTTTTTATATTTGTTTCCTTCAGTATTGCTCAAACACCTCTTAAAAATTCAGATATCACTATATAAGCACATATCCCAGCTCTTATATTCTAGATACAGAATCAAAATGGATTTTATCCACCACCCTCAGGAAATAGCAGTTCCATAGTAAAATGAGTACAGCCTGTGGATACCAAGTGCACTTTTTCCAGCATGGTTTTTAACAATATCCTTACAACCCATTACTAGAAGCCTCTCAGGTTGATTGTGTAGATTTGTGGCAGAATATTTATACTAAATTCATACCTTCTATCAGCTCTACATTATGAGAACATTTCCACAGCCTTTGTTAACTTTTTCAATTTTTTTTTTTTTTTTTTACACTATAAAGCACTACTCAAAGCTTTCTGTGTTGCAGACATACACTTAAGGCAAAATACAAAATAAAAGAGCTGCTTAGTCACTGGACAGCCAATAGAACTCAGCAATTATGCAAATCCTCTCTCTGTAATATAGAACTACTTGCTTACCTGCCTTGCTGCGTTTCCCTTTTCACCCTTAGGACCAGGAATATTATTGCTAGTCCCAGGATCTCCCTGGAAAAGTTAAGCAGAAAGCTCAGCATTTTCGGTGACCACACCTTTATTACTCTGATGACAGAGGCAGGATATGCAAAAAGGAAAAATGAGATTTGTCATTGCAGCCAACAAGAAATATAAAGTCTATTTTAAATTAAGATGCTTGTAAGAACACTATATAGGATGTTCTGCAAAGCCCAAAAGTTTCTTTTGCAAATAGATGAAAAGAAATATTACTAATGGGCAACAAACTAAACCCTGAAAATTGAAGTGGTGCTGGTTGTTTGGGTATAGTTAATTGAGTTAAGGCCATAACCAGTCAGTGAGTTTCAGGTGGGGTTACACTAGGAGTTCCATTTAGCCACCTAATGCTAGACACAGCTGACATCCTGATCTCTCAAAGAGGCAAGTTACCATGAAACCTGATTTTTGTTTTATTTTATTTTTTTTTTAATAAATGTCAGAAGACAAGAGTCAACACTATATTTGACTGTTTGGAACAAAGGTCTTTGCAATATGTGTGAGAATATTTAAAAGTTGTGATACAAGAAGTGTGATATCTCCACTGAAATTTTAGCCCTCAGGGATGGCATTTATATAGGGCTCTGGAGCATGCAAGGAAGAAAATATCAGCCTGAAGAAGGAACTAGCCTTTGCAGCACTATAAATTGCTAACCAGGAGTCAGTGCACAGGGTTTTCAAGTGATCCAGAAATTCCTCTGTAGGATGGGAACCACCAGGGAAGACTAAGTAGCTCAAAAAGCAGTTATGTTGCCCATGGTAAAAACAAACAAACAAATAAATAAAACAAAAATGGAAGGAACAAGCAGGACACCTGAGGCTTAAACACCTGCTTCCAAGCAACGCATCAAAACACATAAGTCCATCTGCATCTAAAGAGTTCAGGATTTCTGAAATATGCCATACTGCTTGCAGAGTACTGCACCATCTAGGATTGTGAAAAGCTCTTCAAATCACATATATTTCAGGCAGTTCCATCACAAAATCCAGGCACAAATCAGTGCAACCCAACAAAGATGAAGGAATATGCTTACATGATCTCCTCTTAGACCAGATTCTCCTCGTTCACCTGGTTCTCCTCTGGGGCCTTTTCTGCCCTAAATTCATAAAAAAAGCACAAGCAATTCGGGTACATATAGAAATAATATCTGTGGTAGACGAAGGTTTGGTAAGATAACAGATCTGTTTAAGTGTGTGGAGCTACACTGATTTACAGCAGGAGCCAGATCATATTAGAGAACAGGCAGCTATTAAAAACAATTCACAGGCTTTACAGATAGCATTACACTTTGGAAAGATGTTTCCATAAAATCAAACATTACGATAAAGGATACTACACCTGTTTTCCTGGGTTGCCTTTATCTCCAGAAGGTCCAGGAAATCCATGTTCTCCCTAGACTCACAAAGGGGGAAGAAAGAAGAAAAAAAAAAAAGGTTGATCTTTCTGATAATGTGGTTCCCAAATTTTGTCTGGCAGAATCCAATTTCAATCAGATATGCAGCTCTTAAAAACTAAAAAAAAAAAAGAATTTCTGTTCAGGTTTAAAGCCCATTCAAAGGCACAAAAGTCTGTACTTTTGAACCCTGTGGCAGGTGTCTTTAACCGCACTGCACATTTAAAGCAATGATTACCTGCTCTCCATCAGTACCATCAAATCCACTCTCACCATGTTCACCCTGCAGCAATAAGTAAAAAAAAAAAGCCCTATTAGCATCAGTCCACTTCCCTCTTTGAGCAAGGGAAGAAGTGTTCACCCTGCTTTTGGAAACTTGAATAAGAATAGTGGTTTTCAATGGTTAGCAATAATAATTAATAATAATAATTATAAACAGAAATTAATAATTCTTATTTTAATCACAGAATCTTCGGAGTTGGAAGGGACCTCTAGAGGTCATCTAGTCCAACTCCCCTGCTAAAGCAGGATTGCCTAGAGCACATTACTCAGGACTGCATCCAGGTGGGTCTTGAAAATCTCCAGAGAAGGGGACTCTACAACCTCCCTGGGCAGCCTGTTCCAGTGCTCTGTCACCCTAACTGTAAAGAAGTTTTTCCGTGTGTTGGAACGGAACTTCCTATGTTCCAACTTGTGCCCATTGCCCCTCGTCCTGTCACTGGGAACCACCGAGAAGAGTCTGGCTCCATCCTCCTTCAACCCAGCCTTTAGATATTTGTATGCCATAATAAGGTCTCCCCTCAGCCTTCTCTTCTCCAGGCTAAAGAGTCCCAGCTCTCTCAGCCTTTCCTCATAAGGGAGATGCTCCAATCCCTCAATCATCTTGGTTGCCCTTCGCTGGACTCTCTCCAGCAGTTCCCTGTCCCTCTTGAACTGGGGAGCCCAAAACTGGACACAGTATTCCAGTTGTGGCCTCACCAGTGCCGAGTAGAGGGGGCGAATGACCTCCCTCGACCTACTGGTCACACTCTTCCCTATGCAGCCCAGGATTCCATTGGCCTTTTTGGCGGCAAGGGCACATTGCTGGCTCATGGACAATTTACTATCTACCAGGACCCCCAAATCCTTCTC